GGATCGAGCGCTATCCTCAAGGCCGACAATTGCTTCGGTCCTCGATGGTGGTTTCGTAAGAACGACCCATATAACGAACTTGACGCGACGCGTGGCGCCCACCCTCCTCTTCTTTTCATCTCCGGTGAAAGGTGCTCTCGCGNCGAGGACGCTCGACCGTTTTATCCGTGAATTCCCTTTCTCCTGAATCGCGTGGTGGTGCAGCAGTGAGAGCAAACCTGGTGGAATCGACCCGCCTCGCGCGCTCTTGCCAACCACGATACGGGAACGGAAATTGGCGCGGCGCTCGGATACCGCAAAGATCGCTCGCATCAAGGAGAATGCCCCCATAGACTCGATTCCCTATGGCTAGATTCGATCACGTGGCCGAGTAAGTACGGTGTGGAAGTAATTACAGCTGTACTTACATTCCGAGGGGAACCGAGGAAAACTGGTTTCGAGCGGACTGCCCACTCGTACCCGATTACCGGAGCACCGCGGAAGTTATATTTTACGAAATATTTATGTTATATAGCAGAGTTTCAACGACACCTGGCTGTAAGTAGAATGGGGAGGGGCGTATACACATGGACAGGCGGACAAATGGACGGACAACGAGGGACAAAGAGAAAGAGAGAGATTTCTATCAGCACTTAGAGCAACTATGCGCTTAAAACTTTACGGGCAAACTTTCTCTCCCCCTCTCCCCGCCTCGTTTTATTTCCCTCTGCTAAACTCTTCCCTGTGGAATAAAAGTGTTGTACACGTTGGATATATGCAACTATCGTGCATGACCTTTTTTTCTTTCCTTCCTTTCTTTTCGCTGTCATCGTCCTATAAACGACGCGTTTAAAGTTTCTGGAACTGGGGGGGAGGGAGGAAGTTTGCTTACGAAACGCGATCGAACGCGGAACGATGTCTACGTCACCGTTGGCACCGTCAATTCTCGCCGGATCTCACGATATCCGCCCCATCGTCATCGTCGAGAAAATTCCAGAGAATGTCCACGATCCGATTTGTCCGTCTGTCGAAATAAATAAATAAATAAATAAATAAATTAAAAAAAAAAAAAAGATTTTCCAAATAGAAACATTGGTCTCTGTGGTACGTACAGCCTGCAGCGGTGGTGTAGGCGCATTAATAATGTAAGTGTGCAGATGGTGTGCAGTGAGTGCGCGGTGGCGCTGACTAGGATCAATGTTCCGTTCGCGATCTATATAGTATATAGTACAGTGTATGTAACGACAACACGCCGGCTATGTGAGAAACAACACACTGTTACACAAGCCATTTCCACAGAATATATTTGCAAATATTCTGATCAAACGCGTGGGATGGAATATGTATTTGAAAACAAGCATACGTGGCGTAAACACATGATCAATTCTGGCTTGTATTTCGTCGGATTTGTTTGAACAATACCCATGTTAAAATATAGTGGTAAAAAGTATGGTGTAGATGACGAAAACAAAAAATACATATATATATATATACTCGTAAAAAGAAAAAGAAGGAAGGAAAACAGAGATAACATAAAAATGTTTTTCTTCCCCCCTTTTTCGATGTAAACGTGCACGTTGTGAAATATTTACGCATCGACGATTAATTTCGTCGCGGTAAACGCTAATTTCGTACAGGAAAACTCGATCGAAACTAACTAAGGAGTAAACGGTAACACGTTCGTGCTATATATATATATATATATACGTATATATATATGGATGTATCAACGTGTGTATGAATTATCGTGCGGATCGGGAAACAGTTGCGGGATATATGCTCGCAAGCGTGTAATAACGTATTTTATAAATTTATTCACATGATTTAAATAAATCAAGTATACAGTTAAGTTTACGACACCTGCGCAAATTGTGTCGTGTTTCACAGTAGATCGCAAAGCGCATGCTTTCTCGTTATTTTATTTATTTATTTAATTTTTCTGTTTCTCACTCATAATTACCGTTTTGTTTTCACCGTTTTATATATATATATATTTTTTTTTTTGTTTGTATTTGTATTTTGTTGTTTCTCCACCATCCCTCTTTTTTTTTTTTCTTCATCCTTACGCGACGAAATAATTATTTTACATGAGGCAAGACGTTTCAATTATAGATACATATTTACATATCGTACAAGTGTTTCTTTTTTTTTTTTTTTTTTTTCCATCATTCGGATCGGACATATAAAATTACAAAA